AGATTTGAACTTATTACTTTTTATGTTTTAGTTTGTTTGTTTGAAGTTAAGCACAAAGCTGCACAATGGGCTATCTGTGCTCTGCCCACCATGGGTATCGAAACCTGGTTTCTAGTGTTGTAAATCTGCAGACATACCACTGTGCTACTGGGGGGCTTATGTTTTTGAAATCCCCAAAAAATTGTATCATTAATAAAATGCAAATTTTATCTATTTTTAATTTTTATAATAATCAGTATTCAATATCTATTTTTAATTTTTATAATAATCAGGTTTCAAGTAATATACAAGACCCGAAAATAATATTTGCAAATAAACCTAAACAATAAATGAGTATTTTTATTTTTAACTAGGATTTCAAGTTTATGTTTCATTGCAGCCATACTTTTGTTTATTGTGCCGAATAAACCGTGGGGTTAGCAGCATGAACTTTGTACATTTTCCGTAAACTATCTCACCCCTGTTGCGGGTCACTCTCATTCAGCCCAGCACGAGCACATTTGAACATTACTGATGCAGATATGAAAGCTTTTCGGTACTTGAATATCATTTTTTTGAACTTTCAAACAAGTTTATTTCAACATATGTCCTTGTATGTTGTTTCACTATAGAGACAAAACTAATTGCCACTACTAGCGAATGTATGTAACAGTTTACAGTACAGGTGGTTTCAATAAACACCACCTGCCCAATTTTTACTTGATACATCCTGTTAGAAGAGATTACCAAAACGATACAGACACCATAAATTACAAAGAAAATTACTTTACAGCACTTAAAATATTAGTCCTGGTCACATTTCTCTCATTATAGGCAAGATTTATGTTGGAAATCAAAACTTAAGCTCTTCAGTGTATTGAGACCCCAACTGTGAGAATTTCATAGCTTCCCTGTATTTATTGAGACGAATGTATTTAGTCTGTTTCACAACCAACATATGGGTTTTATTGTTGTCACTTGTACACTGAGTTTTAAACCATTGGCAAAATATCAGAATAAACTATATATATCAGTTAGACTGTTTTAATTCTAAAGCATTAACAACAGAAGTGTGGGTCTTACTACAAAATAAAGATTGTAAGAAGGAAAAATATAAAATTCTTATGTGGTACTGGTACTTGTAGTGTTACATACAAATCACACAAGTTTATCATTCTAAATACTGAATCATATCATTATTATGAACTAAATATATAATTAAGCTAAGTTATTGAAATTAATATACAAATTTAAATGCAAAAAAAATATAAAAAATCACAAACTCTTTCAGTTCAAAGTGCTAAACCTAATTCATGTAAAGACCTTGAACTCGCCACTCGATAACTCTTAACCCTAACAATCATAGATCAACTTCTTTCCTAAAAAATATATCTATTTTGAGTTAATTTTTCAATATAATGATTAATATAAATAGATATATATGATGCAGCATGATTTAAGCTGCTATATAAAAATAATAAAAATCACGTACATACCATGCAGTTTTTTCCACAATTAAGTTTTCTAACACTTATAGAAAAGCACTATTGGCCAATACTAAATACAACCTCTACATAAAATGGCAGTTACTATAATAAGTACTACCCACATTCATATTGTTAAATCCAGAGAACAGCGTTCCATCACATGCTTTCCTTATCATCCTATGATTTGTCAAGCGTAAAATACAGCGATTGGAATAACATGGTACTGAAATTGACACCTTCAACTAGGATTGGCTAAAAGTTTAACAACTGAGGTTTAACACACCCAGACACTGTTTTATAAAGAAAACAGACTAGAAAAAGGTTTAGATACCAATCATAGATGGCAGGACCAGTGCTCAAGTGGAAGGAAAAATTGTAAAAAAAAATGTTCTTCTTAGAGGGTGCTTATTTACATTTTAAAACGTATTTTAGATTTTTTCATTAAATTCCTCTTTAAACTTCATTAAATAATACAATTTTGTACAAATAATTGAATGTTATGCTACTATTCACAAAAATAATATCAGAAATCCAATAAAAGATAACTTCTCTATAATTTTTCAATTCACAAATGTGATTTTGCCCTCACAATAATATCAAAATGGCCACGGCAGGTGAAGGGTTAAATTGGAAAAAATTTAAATTCAAAAACTTATAGATGATATAACTTTGTTTTGTTCTTCTTCATTATGTATTTTGTGTTTAATTTTCCATCTTAATTCTTTCTCAGAGAGTATTAATTTCATTTAATAAATGTGTTTTTGGTGTTTATAATTTGAGCCTTCTCCTAAACCAACCCAAAACCAAAAAAGAGACTGTTTAGAAACTGTAGAAATCATCAAAGCAAATGATCTCTTACAAAACTCTGATAACGGCCCCTAGCAATATTAGGTGTATTTGGTGAGGTATATTCACCATTCATACACTTGATCAGACTTGACCTCTACCTATATCCTGTCACCTGCTGACACCATTTCCATGACATTTATTTAATTCTCGTGTCTTTTGTCTTTGTAACAATATATAAACCTTGTATTGCTTAGTACTGATCATATGTGAAGAAGAAAGACCAATGCTCTGTCGAAACATTTAGTATGTTCCACCATCAATAAAATATTTCCTTATGCTTATAAATCATTGTTTGCCTACCTATTATTAATCCTTGTTTTGTTTTCCATTCTGTTTTTAGGCTCTTGTAGCTGTTATTGTTTGTAATGATCCACATTTATCCGTAAGGGCTACAGTTCTGCTGGGAGAGTTGTTATATATGGTAAGTTTCATACTTAAGTACATTTTGTGTTTGTATGTTCATAAATATTTCCCAAACTTTCAGTAAAATGTTTAACCTAATGAAAATAACAATTATATGTAAGATAGATTTTTATGAAATTATTTGTTTGTGACGTTATGATATTAATTTACTGTAACCCAATATGTAGTCTTGATAAATCAATTCTTGTATTTACAAATGAAATTATAAAATGTAATTTTTAAGTGAGTAAGAATAAATATTTTGTAATGTCTACAAAGAACTATATATTTGCAAGTATGTGTTTTTTTTACCAGGCAAGTTCATTGTTACCTCCAGAATGTAGCCACCACTGCCACTGTTTACCATCTTTAATGTCTCATGCAGCTTCATTTGAAACTTCTCCCCAAAAGAGAAAGTAAGTTGACCTGAAACCTTTCACAGCAGTGATATTAAAAACTAAAAGCAGTTCATGGTTGAAATAAGGTAGTTAAAATGTCTTAATAGATGTATCACAAGGTAAAATTAGTTCCTGTACAAACACTGCTCTGATGAGTGGCTGGTATAATTTACAAACAGAAGAATAAATCAGTGACATAACTGACATATGCATGTGGCCATACATTTGCTTACAGAAATAGAAAACAGTAAAGTTAAATGAATCTGAAAATAAATTAACATGTTATTTTATGTAATTTTACTATTAAAGTACATGAAACTTAATTATGAATAAATGAAATAACCATTAAGATCTTACAGAAAGTTTTTATTTGATCAATACTTAATTTTATGCCATCATCAGGAGCTGATAAAGAGTTCATTATAGAAAGTTGAGCTCTTAATGAAGGCATAAAACCAAAACATTGAACAAATAAAAACTCTTTGTTTGTAAGAGCTTCAGAGAAGCATGGGAAGGGGAGTTGAATAACCAACTCAATATTTTAAAAAGTCCAATGTATTCTGATTTGTTTTAATAAATACTTTCATGTAAGTCACTTAAATTACTTATATAGAAAAAAAGATCCACATTTTATTTTTAAGAAAGACCCCATCCCCACTCCGTAGTGCTATGCTGGCTATGCTTCAGCTTCTGGAGTTCACAGTCATTTCATTTATTCATAATTATGTGCAGTGTACTCCAGTTAGCATTACATAAGTTAAGAAATTTTGAAATTCTATTATCTTATTACGATAAGTATTCTTTATCAATTTTCACATTAATTTTTTGAGATTTATTGGTGAATATCAATTTTAATAATAAAATGAAATACAAGAAACTGATTTTATTAAAGATTCTAAATACTTGCATTTATCATAATGGCAACATTTAGCATAATTATAACTATTTCAAATGTTTTCATTATAAAATATTTTAAGAGTTAATATTTTTATCATTATTAACCCTTTTAGTGCTGCACCCACTAAACTTCTTTCTGCACAAGCCACTAAGTTTTAATGAGTTACATATCAAAGTATTCTAATGGAATTAGCATGATGATGTACATTATAATTCAAAGTTTTATATTATATACATTTTAATCCATTTATTTCAAAGAAACCTTTAGAAAAATAACATAGACTCCAGTTTTGTTGTCATATGATGAATGAGTGTTCACAGATCTAAAGATTTTGTTTGTATTATTATAATCATTTTGCCAAAGGCTTGCGTATTTCTGCCAAAGATACTGCAATATACCCTGAGGGCAGTTGTTGACATGTGTTGAGGTGAATTATAAGCTGTAAAAGACAGGAAAGGAAAATAAAATGTTAAAAATAAACTATAAATGAAAAGGTAAAACCTGAAATTACGAACATAACCAAAAGAAGATATTTTAAGATTATTCAACAAAGAGTAAATAGGTATGTACATATTTGTGTTTGTTAATTTTAAACATTTCTTTGCACCTTATGTTGGTGATATCATAGAGAAGTTGGAAATATAAATATTTACCTTAAAATCTTTTGATAATCATTTAGGAGGTTCTAGAGGTTATGCAAGTGAAATTTGAAAAGTGTAAGATAAAAGAAATATTTTTATACTTAACATGAAAATCACCTTGCACTTGAACTATTCAAAGTCTTGAGTGCAAATTACAATAAATAACAATTTTTAGTAGAAATAGTGGAAAAGATCAAAATTAAATACTTTATTTATCTTAAACTACATGTCTTGAGGAAAGTTTCTCTCAAGTTCCAAACAATTTGATCAAATAGTTTTATTCTTGGAACTAAATTGGACAAGAATTACTTAATCTACAATGTAAGTAGGTCATTTTGAAAGGTTTAATAACCTTTACTTTGTGTATTTCACAAAGAAAAATGTTAAAAATTTCATTTTGTGCAGCTCCAAGGCATCATGCCTGTAAACAACATATTTAATGCCTTTTTTTGGTTCATTCAGAAGTATGGACTTATATTTGATGAAAAACTACCATCCCTTGTTGTTACTCTTTTAGGATGTCATAGCTTGTGGTTTGAACAATCATTAATGAAGCTCAGCTTTGAAATTCGTTAGTGAAAATAACAGATAAAATATAAAGGTTTTCTTTATGAAATGTTTGATAACTATCTGGACATTATATAGATTTCGCATATGAAATTTGAAAATTTTCTGATGCATAAAAATATTTTTAACCTTAAAATAAAAATACTTTGCATGTTGGATAGGTAACAAGTGAAAAGAAAAAAAAACCTTGAGAATTAATGTTTTGTGTACGAAGCATTGTAATGTTTACTGATAATCTGCCAAATTTTGTTAACATATGCTTACTAACTTAAAAGTTATAGAATGAAAACTATAACAAGCACAAAATGGTTAATGAGGTTGGTCCAACGGACTGAGCCCGTGCTGAGTGGTGTGGCCAGTAATGAATGAAATAATAATTACTGTGTATAGCATATTTTATGATATAAACTGATGGAAATATAGAAGTGATTGTATTCCAAAAATTATGATTGGTAATTTTGACAAGTATTTAACTACATCTTATAACCTGTTGTTCTTTATTTATTAATCTGAAACAACACCTTTGTGTGCACTTGTAGTTTTGAGTGTTTTGTTTTTTGTTATTTAAGAAGTGTTTCCAAATTTTTGTAATTTTGTAATCTGGTTTATTTCTAAAATATAAAATGCTCATTATATTTAGGTTTGAGTTTTTGATAATAAAGAAAATAAAAATCTATAATTGCAATTTGTTTTTAAAATATGACTTTTGCTTCAGCTGTAAATAGAAAGTTAATATATTTAAACTTTAAACATTCACCAAAAATTCAAAGAAAACATTTTGACATGAAAATAAAAAGAGCTCTTGTATGCTATATAAGGTGGCATGTGGACTGTGATATAATTAACAAGTCTAGTCAATAAAAATAAAACAAAATTAAATTGACCAAAAGTGGGTGCATAAAATAACCAGTTACTTCATAAAATAGAAAACTGAAATCTTAACTACTCTAGTGTTTATTTGCCATATAACTTTTGAATTTATCTGCATCTGGTTAATTATATTTTTTGACTTGTTCCTGGTGATGTATTAATTTTATATGTAGTTTAGTGTTGTGAGAACTCTCTCTGTCTTTTTTACTAAAGTTTGATTATGCTTGATACATAAATAAAGTATTATGATATTTTTTCTTTCCCCCTAGCCAAGCCAGTACTGCCATAACATATTTAAATCGAATGCATATGTTGAAGAAGAGAGGAGTTGTGCCATGTAGTCTTTTTCTGGACCAGCTGCTCCAGTTCTGTAGCCCAATAAAAAAACAAGTGGGGTTCTCCAGTAGTTCAAGACATACTGCTCACTTTCGGCAGTACCTGAAAAAGGTTGTTGCAGTATAGTAGTTGTGATGTACTGAGTTAGTAGTTTATAAATTAAGATGGGGTTCAACACACACAAGAGGAATAAATTATGTTTTTGTGAACCTTTTTCACTTAATTTAAGTATATTTTATTTGCAAAGTATTAAAAATATTTAGGCTTTCAATAGTTTCTTTTTGTAAGGAAACTTAAAGACCATTGCAAAGCAAAATGTATTACTTTCTGATGGATTTTTAGTTAGAATTAGTAGATGCATAAACTGTATGATATAAGTAGATTAGATTAAAAATGTTTTATTAATAAAACACATTGGTGCTCAAATGTACTGTAAATACAGTGAAATTTAGGTTTGTCCAGGGAAATTGTAAACTATGTTTCATTTTGATGAAATTGTTGCTTTGGAGAAATGAGTCTATATATAACAAGTAGCTATGTGTATTTTAATGTTCTATTGTACATATTTTGTAAACACATGAGGGATAACTTCGGTGTAAGAAAGGTCTTGTGAATGTTTATTTTGGTCATAAATGATTTTAAGTAATTTTTAGAAAACTCATTTGAATTGTAGTTCTTCTGAATGTTATTTTTCATAAAGATTTGATTTTTAGTCTTAAAATATTATTGTATGCTTGAGAAACTGTACACAGGCACTAGTGTACAACTTAAGTGTACTATGTCTATTTTATCCTTAATTACAAGTAGTAAAATTAAAATATATACTCATTTCTCTAAAAGCAAAGTTGGATATTTATACAGAGAGTTGATTATATTATATTAAAAAGATTTTGGAGCCTCACCACTCTGTTACAGTGCATGTTGGCAGTAGCCCTGCAGGATATTTTCCCATTGCAAAAGGGTCCATTGTAAGGCTATCATGTTAAAAGCACACCAATTCTCATTACACACTTTCCATATTCCATTTAGTGTACAAAGATGAGAGTTCCCCAGCTTCCATTTTAACAGTTTGATCACATAGGTGTTGTGTCCAGTGACTTGACCAGTATGTCTCCATATGGAATATGTAATAGAATGAATACCCATTTCACTTTTCAATTGCTTAAGATAGGTGATGGTTGAATAGGAGGTATGACTGGAAACTTTGTCTTGGTGAGCTCATACCTTGTTGGCCTCATTTCCAGATAGGTATTCTTCTTGATTATGTGGGGTACTATTGCTTGGGGTTTGTGGATGGCTTTTACCACTGACTTTTGGGTTTCTGAATTCTCAACTGTTTCAAAACTTTGTATACCATGGTTGAAATACAGTTTGTTGCAGATCTTTTTTTGGATGGTCCTGGTTCTCGAAGTTTATCCATATTTCTTTGTTTTCCAATGCCATTAAGTACAAGGTCTATCCCAATCTTGGAAATTATAATTTCCCGATCTGAATGTATGAATATTTTTGAATGGAGAGGGATTCGTACCCTTCTCAAAAGTGTTCAGTTTTCAGTGACATCAAAACTTCAAAATGTAGTTCTGATACATGTTATTCCACCTTGACTTTATATTAGCTGTTGTTGTCACATGATTTTTTAATTTTCATATTCAAGATCATTTTAATATAACGTACTCAACCCTATAGACTATAATCATTATTGTATTTGTATATGCACATTTCTTTAGTCACAGAGTTGGATAAGATAGATCACTATCATGCTAGGATATTTATATTCAAATTTCTGTAGCAGTAGACTTATAAGGGATAGATTACTGTCATGCTTGTATTCTTTATACACACCTTTCTCCAGACCTCTGAGGACATAAGCAATCAGGCTATCAAAGACACCCAAGTTACTGTAAGAGAGTACACAAGCTGGGATTGGGATCTTATTGGAAGCATACTTAAAGTACCGGTAAGTTCTCAGTAATTGATAATTATGTATTTTGTTACATTTTTGTTTTTAATAGAATATTTTTACTATTAGGTCATTCATAAGATCTTCTGAAAAAACATTCTAATGAATGCCTATAGTTTTGATATAAATGTTTTCCTGCTAAAAAAAATTTTTTCTTTTTATTCTACCAACAGTCATAACTTTATATTTAAATGTTTTCATACAGACTTTAATGATTAAATAAGTTTTTTGTTTTTTTTCTAAAACATTATTTTGGTTTTCTAGTGGCCTGGAGATGTACTATACAAGTTAGATGACAGTAGTCAAAAAAACTTCATCAAGAAGCTGCTTCATTTCTTTAAACCAACTAGTAAACAGTTTTCACTAATAGAAGCAGACAAAGAACATGGAAGGCAGATTTGTGTTGTTGGATGTCAACTAATTGATTTTCTTCTTGAGGCAGATGAAGTATGTATAGGGCTTGGCTGCTATAATGTGAATTTTTTTTGTTTTCAAGTGTGCTCTTCTGGTTCCATGTGGTACCTCACTCTTACTAATGTTTCACTTTAAAAAATGACACCCCTTCCAATATTTCTGAAGAGATTAGGTAATGACATAAAAACTGTGTTGTACGTTATATGTACATTTAATTTACACACTAACCTTTTGAATGTTTCTTCATATGTTTGTGATTTGTTGAGTTGTATATTTAATGAAAGTTTTTGTATTTAGCGTAAACCTTTTTACGATTATTATAAATTGTTTTCAAAAGATTTACTAAGATTGATATTTTCAGGACATACAGCTATACATTTATATTATTGTTTTGACAAGAGTGTTGACTTAAGCTTGTAGCTGTTATGTTTCCAGTAGTTTCATGTGATAACACATCTTTGTACTTGAAATTAGTTTAATTTGTCATTCTTGTGTACATAGAGAAGTATGCATAATTTTCAATATGAATAAGAGATAGTTAATGTATCTACTGTGTAGTTAACAGAAGGGCTGACTTTAATGTTAAAGGTAGGAAAAACATACTTCTTAACATTTAACATATTCTTGTTTTTGTTTAACAGACAAAGTCCTATGAACTGTTAGATGAATTTTTGACAGACTTGAACCTTTGCCTGTCTCAGGTAATATGAATTGCTTGCTGCTGAGTATTGTGTTCGTTTACCTGAATGAAATTTTTTGCACATTATATAAGCTCATAGACATGATTTGAAATAACTATAGTTGTATTACATATGTTATTTATGATAGAAAAATAGATAAGCAAGGAGTTTATAAAATGAAACATGGATGGCCTGGGGATTAGTATGCTGGATTGTGAATCTGAAGGTCTTTGGTTTGTATCCCACTACACTTTTTACAATATGGGGCCATGGGTACATTATAAGGGTAATGATCAAATCCTACTATCAGAGTAGGGTAGCTCAAGAGTTGGGGAGGGTGCTGTTGACTAGCTGCCTTTCCTCTAGTTTCTCACTTCAAAATTAAGGACAGCTAGCCCAGATAACCTTAGTGTAGCTTTGCAAAGATATCTGAAACAAATAAGTAGTTTCTATGTTGTAAAAATATTTCAGGCAAGTTCCCTTTAATTTGATATTAATATTTTCTTGATTTATTCTGTAGTTTGTATGCTTCATTTAATGAAACACAATTTACAGTTACCTGTTTATTTTGATGCTTTGTTTTATAAGGAGATTTAAACCTGATACAATTGTTGATTTAGTAATGTTATATCATCTTTTAAAAAAAGGGCACTTTATCATCTCATATTTATGTCACTGATTTTTTTCCTTTTCTATTGAAATTCATTAGTACATTTTTGTTTCATATATTTAAATCCACAGATTTTTTGCATCTCACTACGAAGTGAGAAATCGTTATTGCTGCTACTATTTTGTACATTTCACTTAACAGACCAGAATTAATTAGTGAGTCATTTGGTATTAATGTTTCACTATCAAGGCAGAATATAGTGTCACCTGTTTTTATCTGTTTTTTTGGTATACCTGTGTTCATACTTATGTCCCTTTTGTTGCATCTTTTTAATAAACATATGATTACTTGCATTACCTTTTCCTTACATGCCTTCCTAGTATTCATTATTTTGTCACCTGTTTTAATTAAATTCATAACATACCACTCTTCATATTTAAGCCACCATTTTACTGTGGTATTTTAGAACACCAGTATTTATTTGCATTACTGGTTTCTTGGGTGTTTTCTAACTATAACTGTATTCATTATTTTGTAATCCTTTTTTCAGATTATCTTGTGTGAATGAAATCTTGAATTTTATATTCCAGATTACATTAGATAGTGCACCACTACAAGCCATTTTGAGCCCCACACGGGTTCTGTCTACACTAAGTCACGCCTACTTTCTATTTATTGGTAGAATGTCCAATTCAAGTAAAGGACGTAAGCTGCTTGAAAGATCAGGTGTTTTCCAGCAGTAAGTGATATTAGACTTCATGAACTTTTCATTGATAAACCTTGTAACTTTAATATCATTTCATGTAAAACTTGCTTGGTATTCTATAGCTATCCTAAAATTGAAATCTCTTGTCTGTTAAAATTAAAAGATGACTTCTTAGAGACCAGTTCTTTCATTCAGCATGTACCTTTGCAAGTGCTGATTATGTTGATAAATTTGCATTTATACTGTCTTTGTTTAATTTACTGTTTCATGTTACTTATACAGGGACTTCTTAGACTGATAAAAAAATATATTACAATTTGCTTAAATTAAACAACATCACTAGAAGAAAGTTGACTGAGGTAAACAAGTAATTATAGGAAAGCTTCTAGAAAAAAATCAAAATAAGAAATAGTTCCTTCAAAACTCAAGTCATGAAACTATAAAGTCTACTATGAACTCAGAAAATAAAAATTATAATTAAAAAAAGGTTTTTGAGTTTTCAACCTTCTTGTTAAAAAAATTAATTACACATTTCACATCAATTTTTTATGACTTCCATGCTTGTTGCTTGTATAACAAATGAAAGTGAACTATCACGAACTGTTGATTTTGGAATGTTATTCTAAAGAATGTAATTTTGAAAGCCTTTTCAGTAATTTTTATTGTACTTCAAATTAATCAGTTGAAAGTATGAAAACAAATGCTGAACAATTTGTGAAAAAATAAATGTTCTATTATTCTTGGCTCAACAGCTCATCTTATTTCCTTTACACACAAGTAATATTCCATAAAGAGCATGCTTTAAATCATTATAATTTTATGTTTTGCTGTTACATCTTGCTTAAATACTGTACATGGATAAATCTATTTTTGTTTATTAATTGACACACGTTAAACCTCAAATCTTTTCTGGAAGAGCAAGATGGGAAGAATCAAAGATCAAGTTTTTTGAAGAAAAATACATCAGTGTCTGAGAAACATTAAAAGAAGTTTATACCTTGCCTCAGGCATAAAAGGTGTTTACATAAGTTTCATAATATATGGACTAATTATATCATACTTAAGTCAAGTCACTTAAAGTAGTTTTTATTGCCTCTTACAGTTTATTAAACCTCGTAAGCTTGACCAATCATGACACATATGTTAAGCTTGTCATTTCAAGCTTAGACTATACAAAGGAGGGATTCACAAGAACAATCCTGACTAAAGTTTTAACTGCAACCTCAGAGGTGAGTAATAAGTGTCATAATCTAGTTTAATATTCTTGCATTTTTCATCAATATATTACTTAGAATCAATCTGATAACAAAATACAAATATAAGAGAGAAAGTAAAAGATCTGACAACTCTTGATATGTGAAGTACTTAATACGTGTATATATATTTTTTTACTTTACAAGCCTCCAAACAATTTTGTAATACATAAATTACTAATAAAACCCATCTCAATAAAGTATAAATATTGTATGGATGTATTTTATATATAAAATTTAGATACCTCACCCTACTGTAAACTATTTCTTTGTTGAGTCATAATTGTAATACCAAATTTTGCACTTTTACCACACCAGTGTATGACTTTAAGCTTTTTTAACTTTTAAAATTTTATTCTTCTAAGATTGTAAGTTTCACCTTTCTTTCTTCAGATTTCAGATAGTCAGTCTTCTTTGTTTGTATTAGCTGCACTATTAAACTCCATAGTTAACCCTTATTTTATAAGGTTTCAAGATTATATGCCACTAACTACCTCAGAGTTCTCCTGCGAGCTCAACTTCCAGAGTTCTCTAAGTGGGCTGTAGAGCTTCTTGTAACACAGCTGTATGACAAGAGTAGGGCAGTGTCATTAGCAGCTGCTGAAATTCTAGATGAAGCTTGTGATAACCAGGTTAGTGCTTGATTGGCTGCTATATTGTCTTGTAAGCTAATGTTTGTAATAAACAAGTTCGTATTATACAGAGTGGATATTTCATACTGTTCGTTTAATTTCCTCCAAAATTAACTTTATAATAACCAAGTTTAGTGCTTCATATATTTGGCTTAATCACTTTCTTGATGAATGTTTTTATAATCAACTTTATCACTTCATAGAATGAGTTTAAACACTTCCTTGGTGAAATTTACAATAATCAATGTTAGTGCTACATAGATTCAGTTTAACCCTCTTGCTACAGGTAGGTCAAAGTGCACATGTCATTCAATATTTAATTAAACTATTATCATTGTCTAGGAATAAACTTGGCATCAAAATGTAGTTAATTAATCAAATTTTAATATTTTGTCAGCTTTAACTTCGTAATGTTATAACAAAATATTTAAAGAAATCCTCAATCTTCCCAAATACGAGAATTGTGACATTTGTTCTCTTAGGTCTTCCCTCTTCTCTAATTTATTTACCACCCCTTTGTGAAGTATGTAATTTAATGTGAATTATTCTTTATAATATGAATATTACTAAAGTCAAGCATAATCTTTATAACCTTTTATTTTATTTGTTTATGGAGTCATAAACTAGAAAATCAGACCCATATGCCATGCTCACCTTTCACAAATTGCCATTAGTTCTGTCTTATGTTTTATGCAATACTATTTTTGACCAATTGAAAGCCAAGGTTTTAGCCTGTTGTATGATGTATTATGTTATGTTGTTTTCTGTACAGAGTATTATCTGTTTCATCTTCAACCTGAAAGTTTCTCTTGTGGTGTTTAGATCGATAAGCTTAGCTACATTTTTTTAGGCTTTTATGCCATAGTTAGAAAGCCAGATAAATTATGATAGTTAAAGGATAGTATTTGCTTTGTGTGTTATTATTATTATGTGTTTTAGGTGCATTATTTTAGTAAGTAAAAATTATTTAGTGTATAGTACCATTAGTATAAAAATAAGTAGATTTAAATTTTATTGGCAACTGACAGCAGAAAACAACAGGTCGCAGTTAAGAGAACTCAAATTTAAAAATTAGAAACTTATTAGGTTAGACAAGGTTAGATTAGGTAAAATAATGATAAGTAATAATAATAATAATTCTTCATGAGGTGTGCTCACAAGAAGCTCATGTGTTATGTCATTCAATATGATAACCTGAGCTACACGTTGGCCGAGTGATTTACAACTTGTGTGGCAATGTTATTAGTTAGACATAGGTCAAAGGACAATAAAATTAAGTATAAACACATGTATACTGTTATGAGCTTTGGCTATTTTGGATGAACAATTGTAGTCGCATGTTACAATTTATAGTCATTCTAGGAAGAAAAAGGGTAATTTAAATTACAAGGTCAGTCAAATCGAATGAATGCGTGTAGCGTTAGTGTAGAAAAAATAACAGATAAAATATAAAGCTTTACTGAAAGAAAAATGTTTGATATTTATTTAAGAGGTTTTAGAGGTTATGCAAGTGGAATTTGACAATTTTTCAGATGAAGAAGAGTATTTTTAATCTTAAGATGAAAATCACTTTGTACTCGAAGTAGTCAACACTCTGATTCCATGTATTCACGGATAGGTTTTTGTGTACAAAAGGCTTGTAATATTTACTAAACGTACCAAATTTCTTGAGGACACACAAAACACATTAAAAAGTTGTAGTATGGAAACCTGAGCCTGTAGAGTGAGGGTGAACTTTTTGGTAATCAACTTTAGTGCTTCATAGACTAAGTTTAGACACTTCCTTGGCGAACTTTATGATATTCATATAAATGCTTCATAGGCTTAGTATTTCATAAACTATATGTAATGTTTTATTAGGCAAAGTCCATGAAAAAGAGAATGTTTTTGTTAATATGTAGTTTAATCACCAAAAGTAGTATTTCATAAATTAGCTTTAGATTTTTTTTAGATGATTGCTGAAACTATGTTCATATTTTACAAAGGAGTGATAGTCTTTTTATAAATAATACATGTAACAACCAAGTTAATAGTATTTAAACTCAGTATGGTGTATTCAGGCTTCATAACTAATGTGATGTTTTTGCATTTAACACGTAATAAATTATATAATTTAACTTATGTGTTAATGGCAGTATTTACGTTTTTGTTAGAAAATTCTTGAAGCACTGATAAGTCTTCGCCCTTCTTTGCTACATGTTGGTGATAAGGGACTTTTATTGCTGTTGCGCTTCCTCTCCATTCCCAAAGGTTATCGTTTTCTTCGAGATGCAAACTTTATTAATCATGAGTTAGAAAGGTGGAGGAAGGTAAGTATATAAATTCATATAAACAACCTTTCAAATCTTTATACTACATTAAACTGCCTTGTATTGTTTTGTCTTCTTGTTCTTCATTAGACCATCATATTGTGATGAATCTCTCTCTATTATGCAAAGTGTTTATTGCTGTTAAACATTTTTTACTTCATTAAATTAGTATATAATTTTGTTAACTCTGTCTCTGTACTTCCATAAATTTGCAATTGTCAAACCTTTTGTTTACTTCAATAGATTAACATATTCTATTAAATCTCTTTGTACCTCCTTAATCTTTTTTTATCCTTGAGCTTCTTACTTTTTTTTTTTCACCTGAATATTCTTTCTATACATTTTGTGAATTAACATTTTAATATACTAAACCCTATTTACTGCAATTGTGAAAAGAAATAACTTACAATAATTTGGATGTTTCCATCAAAAATTATGCTTCCCTTTCTTTTGTCTGTTTTTGTACTAAATTAATGATTCAGTTGTAACTTTGACATTGTAAAAGTTTACTTGTAGCAAATGTTTTTGATATCTTATTATTTTGTTTTATTAATAATTAAATAATGGTTCATATTTTGGAACCTTTATTTTTAAACTAAGATTAAGAGTGTGATATCTTACTATGAATATCCTTTGAGATATGATACAAATCCTTTTAAACTTCCAGTCTTACAACCTAAAGTATGTGAAAATTGTAGAAGACACATTGAACGAGGGATTCACACATCACCGCAGGGGGGAAGATGGAACTTATGGACGAAGCAGCACGTCCATTAGGTTGGTAAAAATATGTTTTTGAACTGAGTAGATGTTTTCCTAGTGAAACATTGACTATTGTCTGAATTTACATATGTGCATATGCTTTTATCAAATTATTTAAGTGATCTTTAGAAGTAATTTTAAAATTACCATCTTCTGGTGAAGACATTTTATATATATAATTAGTGCTAATTACTTTGACTCGTTCTTCATTAACTCATGCCTTGTAATTATATAGATATTCTGTAGAAATAGATTCAACTTTCACATTTAAAGCCAACCATCAAGGTATATCTGCCATTTTCACCTCAATTTACCCTAGGATAAGAATTGTGACATTTACTCTCTAGGTCTTCCGTTTTCTCTCACTTACTTACCACTCCTCTGAGAAGTAAGGAATTTAACATAAAGTACTCCTTATAATATTGTTGTTACTCAGACAAAGCATATTTTTATAGCATTCAATCGTATTTGATTTCCAAGCCATAAACTAGAAAATCAGACACCTCCTGCCATTCCCACCTGTCACATCCTCTGTTTCACAAACTGGCAGTAGTTCTCTCTGACACATTATACTATATTATCTATAACCAGTAGAAAGTCAAAGTTTTAATTTATCAGATGACATATTATATTAATTTATGTTTTTTTCTGTACAGATAATTGTCTGTTTTGCTTCCAGTTCAAACTTTATTTTCATGGGAAACACATCAATGACCTTAGCTGAATTTTTAATGGTTCTTATCACATACTTAGAAAGCAACAAAAATTATGATAGTTGTAGGACATTAGATAAAAAATTACTTAGTGCAGTAGTGCCATTAGCATAAAAAAGTAGGGTTAAGTTGACAACGAAAAAAAGCCCAGGTAAGTACTATATTTCTTGTTTTTCATGTGTATTCCTTATTTATTGATATAAAAGTAATTAAAATGTAAAAATCAGAAACTTTTTAGGTTAGATTAGGTAAAATATAGATGAAGGAAAAATAATAATTTTCATAAGACATGTTTGCAAGCAGTTCACAAGTAACCTGTGTGTTATATACTTTTGATAGGGTGATTTACAACTGGTGTGGTGGGATTCTTAGTTAGACACAGTTCAAAGGGCAATAGAACAATAAGATTTAAGTAGAAACAGATGTATACAGTTATTAGCTTTAAGATATTTAGAATAAATAAATGTGTAGTGTCATGTTTGAAGTCATTCTAGAATGAAAAAAGGTAGTTTAGATTTCATTCTTATTTTTTTGTTGTGTTTATGAGATTATTGAATTTAACTGACCTTGTATAGAGCTAGGGTAGAAAAAATAACATAAAATATAAAGTTTTAAATTTATTTAGAAGGTTTTAGAGATTATGCAAATGAAATTTGACAGTTTTCAGATGAAGAAAAATATTTTTAATCATAACATGAAAATCACTTTGCACTCATTGTAATGCTAACTGAAATTTCATGAAGATACACAAACATATTAGAAGTTATAGTATGGAAATTCTAAAGGTCAGTTTGGGGTCACAAACTTGGCCAATTTGACCGAGAGAGTTAACTAGCTGACACACCGAATGGAGTGGTCTGCATGCTTTACCAGGCTTCCGTCCTATCAAGCATGTATGAAATGCTCTTTGGAGTTATCTCACATACTGTCAAAAGACTCCAGTCACTAAAGATGGGCTGAAAATAACTTTTTTTCAGAGAAATGTTTAAGGAACCTTATCAATACTTTTGATTTTAAGCATGCAACATTGATGCCAGGCTGCTATTGAATTTAAATGTAATATGCTGTAAAGATATAAAACTGATGCTTACTAAATATTCATGTACAAGCATAGATTAAATGACAAATAATTTACATTTTTGATCACTTGATGGATTGTCATATGCCTAATCTGCTTCAAGATAAACTGAGGGGTAGGGATGTGGGGTTAATAACAGTATTGTTCTTAAAAGAGGTTTTGCCTTGTGCAGTGTGTGAAAATTTGTTGTTGTTTTTTTTACTATCTAACATACACACAAATAGTCAATATTGAACTTATTTTTGTTTTTGCAGAGTATCAGTGCATAGTTCTTTTGTTCCCCCACACATGTATGGACAGCTGGCCCAACATCAGGATGGTTTAGACTTTTTGGTTCAGAGTGACTGTCTGCATCCACTATTCCATGTCATCCATAATGCCCAGCTAGATAGCAATCACAGTATTTTACAGCTAAAGGCAGCTCTGTGGGCTGTGGTAAGGACCAACATGTATAGTAGCATTGAGTTCTATCTTGTTTTGTTTTTTAGTATACTTTTATTAATTATGTTGTATGTGTATATAAATTATATAATAAATTTATTTATATAGCATAGTTAGTAAATGTATTTTTCAAATGTATTCAGGCTTTTAGTAGAATTGGTCATGTTTTCTTTTTATAACAAACAATTCCAGTTTCAGGAAAATACTGATAAATCTATAAATAAGCCAGAATTATCCTTAAAGCAGTTGTGAGTATCAAGTTTGTTTAAGTATGTATTAATTTTGTATGGATATAACCATTGTTAATTTTTGCATATTATAGTAAAGGAAATTTTTCAATAATAAATTGACCATTTTTATTCAGGGCCATCTAGGCACCTCCCATCTTGGTGCCAACTATGTAATTGAAGCAGATGTTCTTCCTTGGATAGTAAGATTAGCAGCAGAAGCACCAGTATTTTCAGTTCGAGGGTCAGTTTTAAGTCATTAACAACTTGGATCATAATAACAAAGTTCATATTACTTTCTTATTCTTAGTTTTTAAATTGAAATGAAAAATGCTTATATTCCTTCATTATTCAGTGATTTAAAATATGCAAGCATGTCTTAAGAAACTTAAGTAAGTCAAAGCACTTTTACTTCAAAATAATTTCATTATTAGCCATGCATACAATAATTTTTTTTTATTTCAGTTAAAATTACAGATTGTCAAGAGCATGTTTTGTAATATCATTGTTTTGAAAAATTCACTATAAGAAATTCTGGTTTAGAAAATTTGTAGAAAATAAAATAAGAAATAGTGATAGAATATTATAAATGATAGGGGAAAGTGCTGCATAGAGGGCCTGGTAGTTATATCACTCGACTCTCAATTTGAGGGTCGCCAGTTCGAAACACCATCACTGAACATGCTTATCCTATGTGGTTGCCGACTGGGCCAACCACCCGAGTGTAAAAAAATTACAGTAATATTGGCCAACCCCAAACTAGTTGGGATTAAGGTCGTAACAGAAAAAAAAAAAAAAAAGTTAGCATAGAGTAAGTATTGTAATTTGAAAAATATGCATCAGTACCAATTAATATAATATAGAACTGTTTCAGACTTGTCCAGTATTTGGCTTGTGAATGAAATTTAAAAAGATATTTGTAGCTAAATATATATATGAGAATACAGAATTGTCTTTAACATTTTTATGATAATTAATGTTATAGAATTTTGTTTTCAGTTAATTTCTTTCATTCACTGAGATACTTCTTTTCTAAACCTCTGTTTAAATTAATGAGTTTCATATGTAATTAACATGAAAAATTATAAACATTTCTTAGTGGTATATTTATAATATTTGAAGTATATTAATACTTAACATGAGTTTTTTTTTATTTGTATAAAGTAGTAGTTTATTTTTTATGCTATGAAAATATTTCTAATTTTAGATAAGTCACTTTAAACAAGTATGGTGTTAATAGGTTGTTGAAGAAATTGTTTAATGTACATACATTTTGATAGATGATAATGACTCTATGGCTGAGTCTTCCTTTTCATTCTTGTAGGACATGTTTCTATGTTCTGGGATTACTCTGCACTACACCAGTAGGATCAGATGTTTTATCCCGATTTGGATGGGAAGCTGTTCGACACAACCATGAGGAAAAGTGGCCTATAGTTAAAGAGAAACTCCATATTGAGGATATAATGTCTGAAGAATCTAGACCTTTCAGCTGTTCAGTAAGCAGTGAAGGAAGTCAGTTCAGTGAATTGTTTTGGTTTGGTAGGCAGAATTTTGTGTCTTCTAGTCCCACATTTTTGTTGAGTACACCTGAGAAAGAAGATATTCCCTTTGTTGATGATTTAGGGGATCATTCGTGTGTTTTATTCAGATCGAACACAAACACCTCCTACCCTGCCAATGAACAAAGAACATTAACTTTAACTTCTGATTTTTTTGAAGATGGTGATGTCCCTAATTCATGGTCCCATGTAATTTCAAAAACATCTTTTTCTCCTCAACATAAACGCTCAATTAGTGATGGTAGACCCAGGTCATCCTCAGATGGTAAACCATTTCTTAAACGAACAGATGTTGTAGAAAGAATTGATGGAGGTGATCAGATGACCTTGACTACCCTCTCTATTCCCCAGTCTTCTCAAGAGAGAATAAACTCTATAAATGAGGGACAAGATGGTAGTACAGGCGATGATACTTTGATAAAAGGGAGAAGTGTTAGTTCCTCAGAAGTTCAGAAAAGTCCTGGACTACGCAGGATCTTTGGACCCAAAGATGAACGTAGTGATAGCAATGAAAGTTCACAAACAAGTGTTAGTAAAAGTAGATCAGATAGCTGCACTGACTCTACTACCAGTGGTGTTAGTTCCTGTGATTCAACAACATTTCGAGCCCCCCACTTGGAACATGCTCAAACACTTAGTCCAATACCTAGCTCTACATCACTCAATACTATGGCCAGCAGAACATATGCTCTTTCAGAATCTTCTCACTGTCGATTGTCATTCTATCAACAGAGTGTGCCACATCGGCATTGTTCTCAAGTTTTCAGTTCTACTTCACCTGAACCTTCCTCCCCTGTGTCTTTCACCTACACAAGTGTTCGAGATGCTATGGGATATGTAGCACTGAGAGCAATACAACGACCTCGGGTGCAGTCCCTTAGTTTAGAAGATGATAATACTTGTAACATTCTCAATGAATATCGATCATCCAAAACACGAAGCTTGGATCCTTGTTTTGCTACAGACATTTTCATGTAAGAAATTAACAAAAAACTTTATTTTAAGTTTTGTATTTTACATTATTGCATAACATATTTTAATAAACAATCAGCCTGTACTTTTAGTTCCAGTTAAGTATACTTATTATACTTAATAACAAGTTAGAGCATTTTCCTTATCAATAAATGATCTCATTCATATAATTTAACCCTAGGTTCATGAGGTCAACTGCTGCCTGTATATGAGAATTAATGTTTATTATGATTCCAAATTCACTAAGTGTGTTTTTTTTTACCAAATTTGATAGGCTTTTAGTAAGCATTATAAGTATGTTGTGTATAAAAAATTCATAATTTAAAAAAAAAAGTATTTTTGCCAAAGTATGACTCAGAGTCACTAGTTTGAATGCAAGATGGTTTTCATCTTACAGTTCTCATATTTCATTTGTATGACTGCTAGAACTTTAGATGAACATTAAAAGTTTGTTGTTGTTTTTTGCAAAACCTTATCTCTTATTTTCTCCATCGTAACACTAACTGTAGTGAAATCATCTGTAGCAAAAATTGAAAAATATGAAATAAAATCAAAAAACTTTTTGTACTTGAAAGTGACGATTAAAATTGTTTCTCTTAAGAACTTTAGGCCTGTTTTTCATAACTGCTTTCATGTAATTTTATTCCTCTTTGAACTGTGTCTAACTTTTGTGATAAGCATTAAATCACCAGCTGGTATCACAGAGTAAACAAATTGATCAGGTTACATCATGCATGTCTAGCTGTTTGTGTGTTGCTCGTGAGGTAATGACAACAAATTTTCTGTTTATGTTTTTTCATATAACTTCTCGTACTTAACTTTAAAAGTTTTATTTTAGATTTTAGTTTATTTTTGTTAAAAATATAAATCAGTAAATAAAAAATATGTTTAAAAACAAGAAAGTTACCTATTTGTGCTCAAAAACGTATTTCAGTAAGGCTTTTTCACTTTATGTTGGTTATTCAGAAAATAATTCATTTTTCTTTCAGATATGCATTTTAAAATATGAACAGTAATAATTCAAACAGTAAAATAAAATGTCCCAAAACTACTATAATTTATCTGCCTTTCTAACTAACCTATAAATAGTTTAATAAATTACATTACTTACCAGAGCACTGACTTCAGTCTAGACATAATACAATCTGCTTCTAAAATGGTGCCTTTTACCAAGATAAGTTAACATGCAGTCATCATGATCATGTACTTCATAAATTGGGATTTTTAATGGTTATAAACATGTACCATTGAGAAGTAAGCATGAGTAAATATGTGTCTTTAAAAGTATTAAGAGTTTGGAGGACCTTCTGTGGTGGGTTTAACAAATTGATTGATATTTCAGAAAATATATAAGGTGGGATGTGTTTATTTTAGATAATGGTCTGTATATATCTATAGCTGGTGTATTTAATTGATGGACATTCTGCAGTAAGTAGAGAGAGCAAGTATCTGTGTGTTTGTAACATAAGGAAAGAAAGAAATCTAAAAAGGAGAATTCAGAGCACAGTGGCATCACGTGACAGAGAAATGAAGATTGAAAATGTATTTAAATATTTTGAAATTAAAAAAGTAAAACTTAATGTTAAATTTGAATTATAAACTACCTTTTGATGCCAAGTTTATTAAAATACATTAATAATAAAGCTGCTTAACTAAACTTTGAATGTAACTCTGTGAAAGGTCATTAACATGCTCTCTCTGAACCCCCACCATACATACACATAGAGTTAACTTGTTGAAAGCTTGTCTTGTAAGTATGTAAAAGCTAGTATTCATTTAATTTCAAAAAATAGGACAAACAAAAATTATATTGGTGTATATTCCCCTTTTATACAAAATGTTAATCCTAATATCATCTGAAAAAAATGCCTCATAATTTTTTTCCTGTTTGGGAATAAATTTGTTATACATTACCTTGAATTTTGTGAAATTTGAATGATATCTATCGATGTCTAGTAAATGAAAAGAAAATACTGTTGTAGAGAAACAAATTAAATGTGGATTAAGAATAAAATTATAGATGAGATAATTCATTTTAAAACTTTAAATTTTCCATAACTTACATCAAGATTATTAAGAATTCATATTTATATGTAATGAAATAACTGCAAGATGTATCCTTTTCTTTTACACCTTCATCTACTGTTTGAGATGCATGTTTTTATTTTGTTTTATATACTACCAACAAAAGAGGTTATGAAGATGAAAATCAGTTTGAAAAGAGTGCCCGTAGAGCTTCACTTTCAAGCCAAGTCACTATTAAAAGCAGTGAATCAAAGTCATCTGAGGTTCCAGTGGAGGAGAAATACATTGGACTATGTTTGCCTGTTGACATCAACTTGATATTCTCTGTAAGTTACAAGATGTTATGCATATGTTTTGAAGGTTTGAGTGTTTTCTCATCTAAATTGAATGGCAAAACAAGTGATCTTCATTCAAAATGTACAAGGTATCACTTAACATAATATTTAATGAATCATGGAATATTAAAGCCATATTAATCCACAGAATCACTTTTCATTACAATTGAGGAAATATTTTATTTCCTCCAAGTAAACCAGAAATTTAAATTAGGTGCAGTAAGTAGATGAAGCAAATATTTGTGTATTTGTAATATGATAAATGCAAACCTTAATGTTGTAATTAAGTTACTTTTTATGCTATTTCATGTACTGCTTTATTACACAAATAAGTTTCAACTCACAATCTGTGGGCCACAGGATCAAAATCTTGAGCTGAACATGCTCATCAAAATTTAACAGTGGAAGCTGGGCTGTAGGAGTAGCCTTAGTGGCTTTACCATAAACAGAACAAACAAACACAAATGAGTTATAATGCCAAAACTTTAGTTAATCCTATCATGACAGACGTACAAGTGTTTAGCTCAAACCTACATGATTATTTATTTTCCAGAATTTAAGTAACAATTATATCTTTTATTCAAACGTATTTTAAAATTGATATTTATGATCATATAACATTTATTTAGTGTAATGTTCCAACATTCATTTCTGTGCAGATCTGAGAAGTCTTGCTGTAAACAATGTATTTATCAATTTTATATTATTTTTTTTAGAATTGTTTTACCCATCCCAAAGCATAAAAACCTAAGAAGCTATCACCCCTGAAAAAAATATAGTGATTCATATATTGTTTTTCCTATATTTTCCTTCTCTGTCAGTGGTTTTATTACTACAGACCTTTGTTTCGATCTTTTAATGATGTTGCAGCAAGTGCTATGAACAATTACCAAGGAAGTTGAGTTAGCAAATAGCTAGAACCAATAGCTAGAGATGATTGGATAGAAAAAATATAATCTGTTTATGTTAATATAAAGTAAACAAAGTGGTTTTTATACATGGTTTTTTGACATACTGGTTACCCAATGTTCCCGTATGGTTAAACGATGGTTTTTAATGCAAAGTTTACAATACAGGAACAAACTACAAACCTTTCTTTCTTTTTTTTTTATGTTCTTTTTATTCTTAAAAATGTTTTCATGTTAAATTATGTATGTTTGAAAACTACGGACATTTTCTGATATAATGAAACATCAGATGGATTTTCTTTGGTTTATTAGCAAGGTTGGTATGAGATGGCTAACTGTTTAGATGAGTCAAAACCTTTTTTTTTATATTATTGTTAAGTTTTTCATATTCAAAGAATACACACAAATAAAAGAACTTATTGTTTATTGAAAACAAACTATTTATTAAATATTGATTGATTTCAACCAAGAACATTTTGGGCAAAAAATCAAAATGCCTAACTTGACAAATAATGGTAATACTATTTTGAAAGATGAAGTCCAAAGTAGTTGATATACCTTTGTCAGTTTTGCCATGTTTTTCTTGATGTATATCTAGTAGTAGTAGTAATAATTGTTTCCATTGGTAAAATAAATATGTTAATGAATATCAAAGGCATTGAAACTGACTAAATATATAAAAAATGGAACTTTATGAACAGAAATAAAAAAATAATTGAAATTATGATTTGTGAATGCTCTTCCAAAGCAGTCTCTCAATAAAATATTGCAACTTCACAACCAAAAAAATTATAAAAGTATTAAATCCAGTTATATGAATTTTTTAAAGCAGACACTAGATACCATTTGAAAGCTTGTACTGAGTTTCATGCAGTTTGGTACAGTATTTCCACTGTGAGATGGGGAGGGAGGATATCAATCATACTCTTCCACTTAAAATAGGGTTAAATGTAAAAAGGGGTATGATGAAACTATTTAACGTGAAAGTCCTCTAGTATGGTGGACTCATTACTGATATGTCCTCCTCCCCCTTTACAAAATAAAAGTTGTGTGCCATGATCTAGAACTGCTTGATTTGAAATTTTTTCTTAAAAATCAGGTGTTGTCATATCTAATTTTATGTTCTTTTAAATAAAATTAACCAAACAGAGAGATCACTGTGCATTACCTAATTTTAGTAAATTCTTCAAAACAACTGTGTCAGTAGTTTTTCATACCCATTATAACAACATTATTAAAAATGCTTTTGTGCTATCAGTTCTATTAGAACTGTATAACCCTAAGTAAACATTGTGAAGTTAAAATAAATGGGTAGCACTTGACACATCATTAAAAAAAGAGCACATGTAATAAATCACAGAGAAAAAATAAATTGCTTATGATTTTATTGACTAAAAGTTATTAAGAATTTCCCCACACCTCATATTTTGTATGTCTCATTAGCAAGTAATGGCTTATGCTCAATTATTAAAGTGTATAAACCATGATTTTCTTTAACCATTTTAGCATGGTATAGAACAAAAAATGAGAAATAAGAAGATCAGTGTTATATCATCAGCATCTACCATCAGTAAATCAGGTGAGCTAAATATGTTTATAGTGTTATCTATTGACATTTAATAGTGTCAGGTCTAAGATAAATTGCATTTACACCAGGTGAATTTCAGATTTTCATATGTCCTAGAAAGTATTAGGTAAATTTTCTGTAAGTCTTGAAAACCTGTAGAAAAGCTCAGTATAAGTCTACTAGCAAGAGTAGTTTATTATTATTATTGTGCTGATGTTTTGAAGTTACATAAAATATATTTTCACTACCTCTGATTTGTTACTTCACTTCCTGATATCCTCAGGGAAGAATTAAGATGTTTGTAGAAATGTATGTAAATTAGATCAATACATTATTTGTTTCAACAGCATATGGAGTCGCACTGTTCCTAACTTAACTCTTATTCTTTTAGAAATGAGCTGGAAGCATTACCTAGAAACCTTACCTAGTAGTGAAGATACAAAAAAGGCTGAGGGTCTTGAGCTTCACACCAAGGAAACTTGCTTAGCTTGTTATAGGGTTCACAAGGGGGAAGCAATACAAATTACTGGAGCCACTAATTCTGGTGAGGTCGTGTTTTGTACCAACCAGACCTGCTACTTTTTGTCATTAAATATTTTGTTTAATATATGTAGGTATATATATATATAACTTAAATATTCCACCTCATAACTTTGATTGATATGAGAACAGAAGAAAGACAATTTACATGCATGTGATTAGAAGAAGTAAAGAAGAATGTTCTGTATTCAAAGAAATGTAATAAAACTTGAAAGTGGTGCAATGATGCATTTGTTCACTCCATTAATTAAAATATTTTCTGGTTTGCATGATAACAATGCCATTCACATTAGTTATGAAAAATTAAAACTATTAAAAGTGGTTAGTATACTGGACTGTGGATCAGAATGGTTTGAGCCATGATATTCTACTGAACACATACTGTACTTTCAACTGTTATAACTGTGATAATCAATCCCTCTTATTCAGATAAGAGAACTGCATATGTGATGGGTGCTGCTGACCTGTTACCCTTTCCATAGAGTTGAAAAATACAACTACTTAGAAATTATATTAACAAAATTACTTGCTTGTTTTGGAGACTTATTAGCGTAATTTCTGGATATCCTGTACTTGTCAGGTTGTATATTGTTCACACTTTATTACAACAAAAAAATTACATTTTGCTTTGTAACAGTTATTTCTTCAATTATATATCAGCACTCATTTCCATTACATTCAGTTGAACAATGTGTAAAACTAGAGGAAATTATAATTACCTTTTCTTCTTTCCTCAGAATCTGAAGAAGGAAGTTCTAAAGTTGAGAGTCATTACCTATGTAGTCCATGTCAGAGTGGAGCAGAGAGCCCCATTCCTCAGATTAGAAGGATTGTCAAGTCTCGAGCAAATAGCTTTGACTCTGCCACAGCTACAACACCTGGCAGCCTTGCGAGTAGTGGGAGCACGGATGGATGTTTGTACAGTTTTTTTCATTGAAAACATGGAAAAATAATAATAATTGGGAGAAATTTTGAACTTTTTCATGTACCTTTTACAGACCATCTCAACAATATGAAATTAACTCTAAAAAAAAGTTAACAATTAAATAACAGATTTTTATATATTGTCTTAAAAAGCATGGATAGCATCTGCTTTTTGAACAGAACGTTTTTTTGTTTTAGTTTTTGTTATTAAAGACTTCTCTGCTCAGTCGCATAAGGAACTCCATTATTTTTTCTATTCTGTTTACTTTAAAACTTTGACCTTAAAACTTAACTGGAATTGAAGTTTAAGAGTATTAGAAATAGTATACTGTGGTGTGATAAATAATCAGTTATATATACATATATATTGTTCTTTTTCAGTGAGTAACTATCATCTTAAGGGTCCAACCTCCCTTAGTGAGAAGAGAAAAGAAGTGCTACGATTTGTTAACCACCTTAGCAGTTCCATAGCTGTCAAAGGTGCAGAGCAGGGTCTTCTCAAGTAAGAATTTCCACTCAAAATACACTGCATTAACATAAAGCAGAAATTACAAAATTGTATAAAAATCAGCATAACTCTGTACAGATCAAAAAAGTGATTGCAAAATCTGTCTTATATGGTGCCTAATTTGTGGCAAGAATCTGAAACTAAAAACAGATACTCGTAAATTCTTTTGATTAAAAGTTCCAAAATGTTTTACCATCTGTACTTTGCTTTTCCAAAACATACTTACCTCTGCTGACACTTATAGCTATTACGCGACTGCCAGGATTTCTCTTTGCCCCTCTAAGCATTGGTCTGATTTTTTCTCGCTTGCTCCAGTCTTTTATACCCCACTCAATTGCCGTTTGTGATATTTGTCTCGTGATACTCTCCACCTACATCAAACTGCCCTCTATCCTGGTACTGTATATAAGCACCTCATTCAGATAATTTTATCATTTTTTTTCTCTACAAAGATTCACTAACAGGTTTCCCAGTATTAAGATTGTTTGGAGATACTTTGAATGTTATTGTGTTATCTAGTTGATTTTCTTAATAATAATTAATCAAGCCGATTACGGTATGAATTCCCCGATTATTATTTCCAGCACAGAGAAAAATTGGGTTTCTTCTCTTCCACCTCTGATATCTAGTGTCATACAACAATTGGGGTGAGACATATATTTGGATCTGTGACAACCACCGGAGGGCTCTGAGGTTGTAATTGAGAGCACTCCTCGACATTTTGCAGAGACTTTAGATTTGTTTTTCCTGTGCTTTCTTTTAGTCTGTTGGATTTTCAGCCCCCTTGTGGGACAGTGGTAAGTTTACGAACTTGCAGCACTGGGGTCTGAGGTTCGATTTTCAAGGATGGACATGGCAGATGGCCTGAAGTTGCTTTGCTCTAACAAAACAACTTACTTTACCTCACAAAGTGCTGTTACAATCAATGATAATCTACACAGTCTTTAAACGACCTATGAAAAACGAAAAGGAGGCCACTTTTGGATAAGCTGCCTTTGATTTGTTTTTCTTCTGTTGGTTCTTCAAGTGTGTGATGTTTTTGGCATTTTACCAGTTGCTTTTGAGCCAGCAATTTACTTGATGGCTGAAAGGTGTGGGAGCAAATTTTTAGTTTTTTTTTTCTACATACATGGATATTGTGGTTCATGCTGGAAGGTTTACTTCTTAGTTACGTGAAGGGACAGTTTGGCCTTATCTGACACATTGTCGAAATTCGTGATTTAGCCTACCACCTCTAGGTGGAGACATTTTTCCGACTCTCAAATAATACATATGCTCCTCGAATTTCGGGGTTCTAAGGCAGAGTTTGTAGTTCACTTATATAGGTCTATGTCCCCTTGATGGGACAGAAAAAGTCTACAGACTTACAACTCAAATTCCACATTTTGTTTCCTTTCACTTTACTTTGTTAGAGGACTGTCAGAATCATCAGCTTTATTAATGACAAGCTGGATCCCTTGTTAGCATGTATGTTGGTTCAGTTTTTGGCTTCTAAATTCCTCCCAGTTGTTGTTGGAGTCTCGAAGTTCATCAGCTCCTACAGGGGGGTCATAGTGCCTCCCCTCTTTGTGAGTCCCACATCAGCCCCTCAGTACATTGGTACTCAGAATAGATCCTGTCTATATCCAAGGTTTCCACTGCTTAGTTGGATCACCAGCAGCGTTGGTGATTATTGTATACCTTCAGGGCTTGTGGGAGCTGATGACTGGTTACTGCTGGCTCCATCTCATCAATTGTTAGACCATTGCATTCTGATTCTACTTTCAGATACAACCCAGGCAGACTTCCCTTTCAGGATTGCAACATTTGTTCTTGCTCCAATTCAATATGTGATCAGTCTGGGTATTTTTTATTCTTCATGTCATCTCTCAGTTGGACTCAGCTGTCTTCCACCCTGCTCAATGCTATAGAATAGGACGCCACATTCTTACTCACCTCTCCTTCTGGAAATGTGGGCATTACTCAAATCCTTTGTGTCTTTGGGAAAAGAGCACAAACAAATCTTTTATTGGTCTTTAAATGATCAAGGATCATACACATCTTTTTACTAGTTTCCCCAGTTTCTTTAATCGGGATCATTCTTCAATCTCGAAGGGTTATTAAGTCAGGACACTACTACGATTTGGATTCCTCTACTGCCACCTTGTCCAGAGTGCCATTCTCTTCATCAATGCCTTGTTTCATGGATGGGATGCATATACCAACAGTCAGGAATTCCAGACTCTATGCATGGATGACGATGATTCTTCCTTCTTGCTCTTCAACAGGCAAGGCCTCATGGTCTGAGCTTGTTAAAGGGTAAATCATCAGGCTTCAGTCTGACTATTCTGTGGTGGTGTCTTATGCTTCTCATCAAGGAGATATGCTGTCTAAGGCTCCTTATTTTCGAATTTTGGTCCTCCTTTCTTGGGACTAGTCCTATCTTATCACTCTTCTAGTTTGTCATGTTCCATGGGTGATGCCTGTGGTAGCAAGTCTATTGTTTCAATCCAAATAGATTATCCTGACAGAATTGATTGGCTCTCATTTTGTAACTAATTGGTGGGTTGGCCTCTCATTAGATCACCCAACTACTAGCAATTTGGTCTCTAGTACCTCATCTTTAGGCTTTGGCAGTAGATACTTTCCTTCTGGACAGGACAGGATTACCACTTTAAACCTTCTCTCTACTTTATATGTTACCCAGGGTATAAAATATGATTTGTTCCAACCCATTGTCAGTTCCTGTTGATAGCCCCCAATTGGCTGCTACACCCGGGTTTCTACTTCTACAGTCCATTCCAGTGTGTCAAACTCTTCCACTTCTTTATAGGCTCTTGCTGTGGAGGCAGCCATGATCTGATATGGTACACTTGGCTATCTAGAAGCTCAAACTTCTGGCATAGAGGTTATAATGTCTTTCACGTGGCATTGGAGTTTAATTTCTAATGTTGATGTGTATCTGTCTCAGTTTTAGCCTAGTCTGAAAGGCACTTTTATTAATGACATGCATATCGGCAATGTTGTATTGAGAGGAGGTTGAACCCTTTTCACTCAGTGGGTCAACCATAACTCGTTTTTTGACTTGGCTCTCTTACAGAGATTTTTGCATCTTCCACAATGGCCATTGTTTATGGTGGCTTTATCATCTACCATTCAATTATTGTGACTACATATTTTTTGAGTCCCCAGTACTCTCCAGATTCCTTACATCATTTTGGGTAATTGATCCCAAATGACCATTCCAGTTACCTACCAGGTAGATTAAGCTTACATGTTCTTTCTCTACACCTGTTTGTGACCTGACTCTTATATGTCATGTATCCCCTTTACCTTCAGGTTTATTTTTCATGGCTGCTGACCAACAGACATCACCGGTTAGAGATTTGCGCTGTTTGTCCACAAACCACTTTCTCATTTTCTCTACATCCTCAGACCAGTTCTTCATACTCAACACTCTGTCAGACAGGAAAGGGGCTCATTCCTTTTCATCTGCTCACTATTTCTTTCTATGTCCAATCAGATTTTGATCATGGTCATGTTCAATAAGGTTTTGTTGCCTGCACTTATACCTTTAGAGATACTCTACAACACTTTTTATTCTGGGCTCTCTTTTGAAGGCGAGGTATCTTCTGTGAGTTACATCTAATCATATTTCTCTTTACATGTCCTTAGCAGCTCGGTCAAATTGCCCACTGGAAGTTGTTGTGCAGACTGGTATGTGGACCTTCTACAGTACCTTTATCTCACAGTATTTGCCTGATCTAGCAGTCTCTTCATCTGTGGGTTTTTGCCTACCCCCTGTAGCTATCTTAACCATTTCTACTAGATTATTCAGAGGGGTGAATATTTTTATTTCTACCTTTCATGGTCCCTTACCTTGTTTTCACAGGATCCCACTCTGTGAATAGTGTTGCCCAGACAGGTGTGCTTTTATCAAACTAATTCTGCACTAGCAACCACTATTTCACTATAATTGCTACTGGTTGCAACAGGCTCTGTAGAAATAAGGTGTTCCATAAGACCACCTAGGAGCTTACCAGATGGTATTACCACACTATGCTGGACTGCCGATTATTGGATTGAATAAATCAGGGTTGGTTTGCTTTTAAAAATTTAGGGAACTTGGTTTACCTATTGCACTGTTTTCAGAGCACTGTTCCATAGGACTCCCCAATGTGCATAACCCCTCAGATTCTACTAATTGAGCTAGGGAGTCCTTACCACACCTGGTTTCCAATCATTAGGGTGGTAGACAGAAGCTTTTCGTCCAGAGTGTTAGAGTGACTTCCTCCACTCTCAGAGAAGAGGGCAAAGTTGGGGAACAATCCACCTGGGTCCCTGGATATTTTTTCCCAGATGTAGGTAGGAGCAGCACCAGCCTATGCATGAGCCTACTCATAATACCTGTTCAGTTTTGATACTCGGCTATCCAATTGAGGTATGTATGGCCCTTTTTTTTTATCAATATCGGTTCAGTACATTATTCATGGAAGTGGGTCCACTATCTCCTCGTAATTCTGAATGTGGAATGGTCCCATCCTGGGTCTTTAGTTGAGCACAGTTGTTCCACGCCCTCCCCATAATTCCAGGGTCAAGTGGAATGCTCCTTGCCTACTCAGTTAAGGAGTGAGGATGAATGTTCATAATTCCATACTGGATGAGTTATTTTCCTTTGGTTGAGTATGGCATCCACGATCCCATTATTCTGAGCCTGGGGTGTTGTCTTTTGGGTTTCTTCAGGTGGATGAGAAGGTTTGTCCACTTCGGTGTTGCTTACCATCTCATCATGCTATGGCTATTCTAGTGGGATTCAATCAATAGTATATATATATATATGCGTAACATTGCAATTCAATTGCCCTAGCCACCAGAGTAGGATATAGGGACCAAGACCCCCTCAATTCCAGCCCTGGGTAGTGGAACCTCAGCTGTCTGGTTGGAGCTGGCCTATAGTGATGATCACTCGTGTACAATTCCATCCTCTATACAGTAACTAAGTTCAGGGTGAGAAGCATACCTGTTCTGGATGTAGTGCAGTTCCCTCACTTGGGTACCAGTCTTATCTTGGTATACCCATGATATATGCAGACACTTTCTTTATGGATAATGCCCTCACCAGCCCCTCCACCTTCTAGCTATAAGTGTCAGCAGAGGTAAGTATGTTTTGGAAGTTAACATTTTCTTAAATTGAAAATGTATTTCCAATAATTCTTACCTCCAATGACACTCTCCTGCCTTTCCTTCCCAATAAGAACTGGTGTTAGAGACTGGGATTTTATCAGTCTTGAAAAAATCAGACCAATGCTTAGATGGCAAAGAAGAAACCCTGGCAGTCGAGTTGTAGCTACAAGTGTCAGCAGAGGTACATATTATTGGAAATACATTTTCAGTTTAGGAAAATGTGAACTTGTATCTATTTGTAAATACCTAAGATGTGTTATGGAACACTCCATTCTTTGACAGTAATTTGTCAAAGATAATGGGAATACAGTACTTCATGTTGAATCTTATTTTTGCTTGTTTGTTTTGAAAAGGACTAATAAAAACTAAACAGCCACAGCTTATGTCTACCAAGCTTTTAATTTCTTAGTAGCCCACATAATTTGAGTTATACTTGATGGGCTGTGATTAATAAAAATCTAAATTCCTAATTACATCATAGCACTTTAAATAACTGTGCACTAATCATAACTTAGTAAATACAAACAAAGCACTCATCCTTTAGTGACAGGAAATTATTTCATGGACTTTAAAAAGGCTAATTGTGTTGCACTCGGGGCAATTGCTCTGAGCTACTTATACCACTCAGCACAAAAAGTAACTGTTGAGTATTTCAGTCATGCTAAAAGGCACTCAACAATAGCATACAGTAAATCTACATTTTTATTCTTTAAGTTATGTCACATTTAGAAATGTGAATGATAGTGTGATTAATTCCTAACAATTTAATGTATAATATCCTGCTTGCGAAATATAATTTGGCATCAACATTATTCGTGCTTGTTTTCCAGTCATTTCAAAAGTGAATGTTAAGCTTTGCCATAAATGGGAGACAGACGATATATACACCTGGAAAAAAGTTAAGCACCCCCAAATATTTTTCAGGATTGCTTATTGAAAATAAGGTTTAATTTTCATGATGTTGAGCAATGTTCATAATTTCAAACATAATTAAAAGGATGTGAGCGTTCAGGTGT